AGGCGGTTAGACTTGATTATCTGCCCAGGTCCCTTCCGATCCTACCACCTATGAAACGACACATGCATGTAATATTAAACATCTATATACAGTTTTCTGACAGCCTAAACATCATGGTATTGGAGTACCTTAATATCTCTTCTGAGTTTTTAAATATTATTCCCTGCACCCCAACTGACCCCGTGGAAGTTTAATCAATGGATAGTAGTAGTGGAAATTTTTCATTGCAACATTTTTCCTTCAGAGGTTTAAGTATTCCATGGGAATGTGTCAACTAAATTCCCATGGGAACCCAGCTGGCTTCTCATGGACATTTGCCTACCTCCCTACCAGATTGTCCACTCAGGGGCATCCAGACCTTCAAGCCCCTCAAACAACTTGCCTCGTGATATGAATGGACCCAAGAAGCTAGAATCCCTGGTAGCCTTCTGTCACGTTTGCAGCATCCCTTTGACTGTTTGGCTCCCTGCCAACCTGTCTTTTGAATCTGCCTCAACTCTTAAAATCTTTGGGTCTTCAAACTTCCAGTTTCCTGACAGCCTGTCTGGTGGGCTGCCGGAGAACTGGGAATTTGCAAATGTTGAGAGGTCCAGATCCAGATAGTTCAGGCTATCCAAGTCACAGCTCCTTGATAGCCTGAACTATCAGAGCCTCTAACTTCTTCATAAGAGGCCTCATAACTGGGGCTTCAAGATGCCTATGGCTTCCAGATCTCCAGTTTCTTAGAAACTGACTCCAGGCTAGTTTGAGCTTCCTAGTTCCTTGAATCTGTGCCTGTGGGCTGTAGGGTTCTGGTCAGCTCAGACAACTGTGAAAGTGCACTATCTTTTTGCTTTCTTATGAATACAAAATTTTGGAATTTCCTTTCCACTCAAATCCAGAAATTTCATTTTTCAGAATAAGCTGTAATACTGTAGCTATAGAAGAATGTTTCTTGAAAGTAAATTACAAAGTTACTGCATTATAACCATAGCCCATTATATGTCTTGTTCTGTGAATGCAGAAGTCAGCTTTGGTTTAACCTAAGTGGGCGTGTCCACACATGTAAGCATGTGTGCTTGCAGCAGTTCAAATAGAAACAGTGCAAATTTGAACCGGGACTTTTTGCCTCAGTACCTGTGTTTGGACATGCATTGTGTTGTGGAGCAAACTGTGCCACTTGGGGCATAATAACCCTGCCTGGTTCCTCATGGATCTGCAGCCAGGGGGAGATAGAGCCCAGGGCCAGCACCTGTGCTGTCCCCAGCAGTATAAAAAGCTGCCCTGGCAAGTAGCTCAGGGCTACTCACTCTCAGTAGCTTCTGGGGCCCAGCCAATTGGTATCTGAGGACACTACCCCTTGTGCCAGCTGGTTTGCTGAAGTAGCCCTGAGAGTTCCCTGCAACTTTTACCCACTGCAGCAGTCTGGCAGTGGGGGCTGCTGCCTGGCTGTGACCTGCTGCACACCTGCCAGACTTGGATGGGGACTGCACAGCCAGTAGAGGCATCTGCCCCTCTGAG